CCCTGGCTTCCTCAGCGGCCCTCTCAAAGGGTGTACCAAACCCACCTTCCACGGAGCAGCATACAGGTGGTCCTCCATATTCCACACCTGGGAAGGTGCTCAGAGGCCTTTTCTTTTCAGACTTTTCTCCCAGGGCACTGAAGATGCAGCCCAGGTATCCCCTGCTCTGAGGCCCTCAGCCCCAGCCCTCACTCATGCAGGTGCAGCAGCACCCCATTTCAGGGTGCAGCAGGGCAGCCCTCTTCCTCTCCTCTCTGCTATCTCTTCCATACCGTATCTCAGGGCTCAGAGCTCCACCTTTATAAACTCAAATGTCAAGAATTAGTCTCTAATTAATAAATAAAGGACTATCATCTCAATAGATGTGAAAAGAGCATTTAATATAATCTAATACTAGTTCATAATAAAATGCTCAACAGACCAAAACTAAAAGAGAACTTTCTCAATCCAGTAAATGGTATTTATGAAAAGTGGACAACTCAAATCAGATTTAACAGTGAAAGGCTGACTGTTTACCCTGAGAACAGGAAGCAAAGAAGGAGGCCCGCTCCTCACCACTGTTCAGCCTTGTGCTGGAGGCGCTAACCAAGGCAATTAGGTAAGAACGGAAAGGAAATGCCACCCAAGGTGAAAGAGAAGCGAACTACTGCTATGTGCGGATGCTATCCTCTGGTGTATAGAAAGTCATAGGGCTCATGTCTTAATAAAATTATTGAATAATAAAAAATAAAGAAAGAACATTTGGGGAATAGAGAAAGAATTTTGTGTTCTTGCTGAGGCCCCTTTGTGGGGATAGGAAGGTCTTATTGCAGGAAAATATGGGAGCAGGACAGCATAATGGGTACACAGAGAGAATTACAGAGTTGAGATTTTAGTTTTTGTGAAAGGATGGATGGATGGATGGCTTGACCCAGTCTCTGCAAACTACTCCTCCTAGGACCTGACTACCTGCCTAGAGCAGCAGATTTAGAGGGAACAATGTTCCCCTGGCAACTCATGTACCCTCTCTCGGCCTCAGTTCTCTCTTCTATGCAATGGGATTCATTATAAATGATAATCAAATAGGGGTTGGGGAGAAAAGTTTGGTGGTCTAAGCACCTGTGTGCCAAGGGCAAGGACCTGGGTTCGATCCCAGGTACTGCAAGCCATCCTGGCCCCGGAACCCCAGGCGCACCATGCCTGCCATTGAAACTGGGTGTGGTGGTGCACACCTATAATCCCAGTGCTGGGGAGACTGAGACAGGAGGATCACTATGAGTCCAAGCTGTATATCGAGACCCTGTACCTAATTAATTAATGAATTAATTTTTAAAATAATGAAATAAATACACCATGGGATGTCGAGAGGATGCAACTAGATGTTCTCCAGAGCATGCTTGGCAGAGCGCCTGCTGCACACTATGTACTTAGTTAATGTTAGCTGTTCTGCGTTCTCCAAGCTGGATTCGTGATAAATCTCAACTCTGAACCACAGGCGGGAGGCAGTCAGCAGCACCCCTCCCTGCAGTGAATCTGCCTCGAAGCTGCCTGCAGGAGTGAATCTTGTGGCTTACACAGCTTTTGCAGAAAAGAGAGGGAAAGCACCAAGCCAGCAGGTGCTTAGAGCTGCAGTTCGCACCGCTCTGCACTCTCAGGCTGTGTTCCGAAACCATCCCCTGCTACCGGCTTCTGCCCCACTGTGGTGTTGCTTAAGGACAGCTGCTGAGCTGGGTGTCTCCCCAGAAACCACACTGTGTAACAGATGCAGCTGTGCCTGGGGCTAGTCACTCAGGAAACCCAGCTGGGAGAGCCGCTGCCACCTGGATGCCGCATGGCCAGCTGGTCAGGAAGCAGCAAAATCCTTTTCCCAGCTGCGTGCAGCCCAGCCCCAGATGAAGAGTAAACAGGCTCTGAGTTAGAAAAAAAAATGTTTTGCTCATGCAGCTCAGTGGATCCCTTATTGCCATTCTGAAACCCAAACAGCTTTGCAAGCTCAAGGTCACTGTGACTCATTCGGTTCAGTTCTTGATTGCTCGGCGTGAGCGGTGCCGAGTTAGCTACCTCATGGGCTGTGTTTTGATGCAGAATATTGATGTGCTTAATTAGGGAAGCTTGCCCCAGGCTCTGCTGTGGGTGTTATGCAATATGTGACACATGAATTGTGTATTCGCATTCAAAAAGTCTAGGACACTTGAATTCTGAACCTCATCTGACTGCCCCACACCCTGAGTTCCTGCAGGAAAGCCTGTGCCCTGGTACTGCAGTGAATCTATCTTACCCTCAGGCAATGGTCAGAGGAAACAGAACATGCAAATTGGGTATAAACAGAATTTTAAAAAAGCAAATGGAAAAAGGAGAGGGTTTGGAGCCAGAACCAACAGGGAGTGATTCCCTACTTGAAGTATTACTAGCTGCTGGTTCTTGGGGAAGTCATCTCACCTAGGAAGTTCTGGTCTTCATGCTTATAAAGTGTAAATCATATCTGCCTCCTATCACTGTCAGGAGGTGAGACAAAACACTGGATGCCTGGGACATCACTAGGAAGGGCTTAAATATTAAGTGCTAGCGAATGTGTTACTTGCTAGATCTCTTGCTCAGCACCTGCTGCACAGCACCCACAGAGTTGCAAGTTCTAGGGAGGAAAGACACCTGGTTCTGGGGTATCCACAGGCTGCATGGAGGTCAGGCAAGACAGGCATGCTTGGACACCCTGTTGGTGTGCTGTACAGAGGCAGGACTCCTGCACTGGCAGCCCCACTCATGAGGAAGGAGAGAAGCCAGAGCGATGAGTGGTCAGAACTTTAAGTCTCCAACAATAAGATATATAGAGATGCTGGGGTATATTACTGAGAAGGGCTGAGTGCTAATTCTTCCATGTACTATTATGGGACATTTCCCCGCTAACCTCTTCGGTAGAATTTGCAGCACTCCTACCCCACTCCCACTGGCCAGTAATGTTTCCCACACCTCTGGGGAGGCAGATGCATCACCAGATGAGTCCACTGTCAGTACACCCTAAATCTGTGTCCCCACCGAAAATGTTTGGTGGAATTCAGCCATTAAGGAGAACAAAGTGAAACACCAGCAGTCTCCTTTTGAAAGTCCTTTTAGTACAAAAAACGACATGTGGCCCTCTGATTTTTATGTCCCCAGAAATAATAGATCTTTCCATTCCAACTAAGGCTAAATCTGTGATTGGAAGGCACCAGGGACCCAACGTTTCTGTGCTCAAGTAGAGAAGAAAACATTCCACTGGCCTGAGGCCTCTCAGCAAATTCCCTCTCACCGGTGCTGCGCGGGAGGGGCATGGTGGCAGGCAGAGGGCATGCCTGCACCCAGGCTCCTCACTCAAGTAGCTGCACAGCGCCTGGGCCTGGGCTTCTGAGATGGGACCTGCTTTGTGGGGCAGGTGCCACCTGGTTTTGCTAGACTTCATAACTGATGAGAAGGAAAGCAAAGCCCGGCTCTCAGGAGACTGGCTCTGCCCCTTCTGAACTTTCCATACTGTTGTGATGAGAACTAAGCCCCGTGGGTCGTGGTGGCTAGTCCTTCAGAGAGCAGGGGCAACTCGTATTGTGGAAGAACCTAGGGAAACTCACCTGGACAGTTGACTTTATCCTTTAAAAGCCTCTATGTCCTGGGCCGTATGGGTAGCTCCCTGGTAAAGCCTTTGCTTGGGATGCATGAGGCCCTAAGTTTGGTCTTACACACTACAAAAAGAAAAAGAAATAATAAAAGGCTCTGAGTTCTCCCCAATCTGCCAAGTCTTCAGGATATGGGTGAAAGGGCCATCCTGATTGGCAGACCACCCCAGTCCAGCCTTCATCTTGACTCCACTCACCCGCCATACGGGGCCCTGGAAGCCACATAGGAGGGTTGGCAGTCCTCCCCTCCCAGGGGGCCAGGCGATAAGGACTCCAGCCTAGACCTGCCCCTAGGTGTTGGGAAGGCACCACAGTGTGCGCTGGGTCCTGTCCCTTCCCTGGGTGTTAAGCTCTTTGCTGTCTTGTGTATGACCCTGCCTGAGGCAGAGACAGGTCACCACTGTGTTTCACCTCCCAAAGCCTTTCTTCTATTCAGACCACATTCATTTAGCACCTGCCCTGCACTAGGTCGGCACAGACACCAAGTCACAGAAGTGAACAAAGTAGTTCTTTGCCATCAGCGAGCTGGCCGGTGAGCAGGGAAGATCAGAGAATATACAGTAACCGTAATGGACTGGAGGGCATCTTGGAAGACAGAGGACAGAGTGGAATAGAGGCAGGACGGGGACCAGGTGGGGCAGGTGGAGGATTAGGGTGAGGTGATTCCAGGCAGACCCTGGGCCAAGGATTGCTTAGAATCTGAGCCCCTGTCACCCAACCAGGCCAAGTACTGGCATGTGGGTCTTGTTCGCTGATGGTCTTTCAGGTGAATAACTGGTATTGACCTCAAAAGATAGTCCCCTGACACTTCGCCAGTTCATCTTCAAGCTCTAGGCTGTCTTATGTATGACCATACCCATATTCTTGAGTAGTCTCTGGGTTTCTGGATTTGCTAAATGGCTGCCTTCTCCTATTTCCAGTGCATGCCTGGTTTCTTGGGAATGCAGCCTCTTGGCAGTGCCCCATCCCCCATCAGCCATGCCTTCAGCCTCCCCCACTGATGACCTTCAGAGTGTCCCCAGATACTTTACAACTGCAGCCTTGCTGTCCCAACCACACCATAAGGGCCTCCAAGGCTATGCTCAGGACTATGAGTTTATTTTATTATGGAATATTTGACCCATTCTCTCCTTTGACAGTTTTGTAGCTTTCTTTGTTCTAAGCATCAAGGAATGAACAAGCCATGAAGAGGCACTCAGAGACTAGCTTGTATTTTTCCCCCATATATATTTATTCCAAAATAAAGTCATAAAATCTTCAACAAATGATCACAACTGATTTTGGAATCAAAAAGTTGACTTGATTTTTTTCATGGCAATAACTTTAAGAGAAGGCGTCTTAAAAAATTCAATAAATAGAATAAATAATAAATCATCTTCATATTCGAGCTCCCTCCCTTTTTATCATTTCTTTCTGGAAAGGTTCCAGGAGCTGCTTCAGAAATGTCACCGTGTTGCCGGCTATGGTTTTGTTGCATGGCTGTTCACAAGAAAAAAGCTGTGGAGATAAAAGTTGACAAGGACAGAATGACTAAAGCAGTCTGGAACCAAGCAGCCACAGCAAGAATGCTGCTCAGAGCCTGGGAGGGCAGAGAGAGGTAGCAGGGGGACCTGCAGCAAATAGGGGGTAATGGGAGCTAGGTAGCATTTTGTGAAGACAGTATAGGGCTTAGGTAGCTTCCTTTGGGGTAGGACTTTAGGAGTCTGTTTGCATGCGTAATCAGACCTCTGCCAAGTAGCCTTGAATCTCCCCCATTACAGGAAAACTTTACTTGGGGCAGGTTGAGGCCTCTGATGTACTGTTGTCCTTTCTAGGTCATCTTACATCATACTGGCTAAGAGTGGAACTTTAGGGTCCCATAGACCCAAATTCAAATCACAGTTCAATCATTTATTAAATACGTAACCTTGGGCAAATTAGTGAAGCCCCCTGAGTTTCTGTTTTCTCCTCTCTCCCATGAGGCTGAGGACTCTTCACAACTGTCCCTAAGGCAATTCCTCAGGGAAGCAGGCTGTATCAGCCTAGATGCTGTTGACACTAGCACACAGGAGATTAAATAACCAGCACAGGGCTGCTGTGGAGGTCTGCAGATATTAATGCAAAGGAGAGCAGGGAGGTCATGAGGCCGGCCCCACACAAGGACGCATGTTGAAGAAGATGGGCATTCAGGCAAGTGGCAAACATCCACCTCTGTCTGGGTACATTTACCTTAGAAATCTATTTAGCCAGTTAAGGAAAAATCCTTTACTTGGAGGCTACCACATCTCTTTAGCGAGCAGATTGAATCTTTAAAATAATTTAATTTCAAGTGCACTCTAGTTCTAATTCTCTAGATTGTAGTTTCTAATTATCATTGGGATAGATTCTTTCATTAGTCAGGAAGCAGAGAGAAGACAATGGCTACACTGGTGCCAATTTTGACTACATTTCTTAGGTGTCCCTTTATGAACATTCCAATACCAATTCCAACTTTACCAACATTCCGCATTTAGGCAGAGTTGGCTGGCAGCCAGCATTTACATGAAAATCACCTCGTAGAACATTCCCATACAGACCCCAACTCACCGGACACTTGTTGTTCTTCAGGACGTCAACTATTCTTTTCACCCGACGGACGATCAGTGAGAATTTTGTCTTCTGTGTGGCATTGATCATCTGTGATAGCCCCTCCTGGAAGCAAGGCGTGGTACAGTTGTCCTGGAAAATAACACGGATTTATGAAAAGAAGCTCTCCAAGGACAGCTTCAAGAAGGAAACATGAAGATAATGACCCTAGAGACTGTTTTACTTCATCCCACATAAACCAGAGCTATAGTATTTTCTCATAGGTCCCTTACCAGTCTAAGAAATGAACTTGAGGTATATTTCAAGACTTGATCACTTTTCCACACTGACTCTGCCAGGAGACTTCTAGCATGTTCCATCCAGGAAATGTGGGGCCTATAATAGCCTGCATAAATAGGCAGCTCCTATCTACATTTCTAGATACCCTCTTTCCCAAGCCTAACAGGAGTAAGTTTGCAAGTGTAAAGTCCTTTACACCAGCAAGTTGGAGGTGCCCGTTGGGTGTGGATGGTGTATCCTCAGTTAAACCCCTGCTCGGTGGACTGAGGGGGTGGGGCTCCTTCTTACTTCTGTAACTGATGGGCCGCACAGTGTGGTGCTGACCTCAGCTGGGGTGGGCAATTCAGCTTCTCCCAGGCCCAGCTTTGGTGAGCACCCCAGCTCTAGTAACCAGGAATGAGCACAGTGGGGCAGGGGGATGAAAACATTCCTTTTTCCTCCCTTTGCCAGAGTGAGGAGTTGCTCCTTTGGAGTCTCTTTCATGACTCAGAGCATAATCAAATAATGCCACCACCTCACTCTGCACATGGCCATTTATCTAAGACAACAGCAACACTGTTTTTGAAATACTGAAAATTATCCTAGCTTCTCAAAGGCCAAAAGCTGTCTGATCACAAGGAAGTGAGTGTAGAAAAGAATTTCAAGATGTGTAACAATTATAAGTAGCAGCTTCTGACTTAAAATATCAGAACAATTCATTTTTAGTTAAAAAGCTTAACAAAAAATATGGTCAAGATCATTTTTGTGTATCATACTCACAGAAGGGATGGGCAGGCACAGACAAGAGCTCACCTGCAAAAAGAGAGATTACAGAGTAAAGATTCTATATGTGCAAACCAATATTAGTTCAGAAAGTTCTTACAAAAGAGCTGTCACTCACATTGGTGCTGCAGTTGCATGTGTACAGTGGATCATTCTAAAGCAGAGAGAGAGAGATACAAACCCACATGAGTGGTGCCATGGGCGGCTGCTGTCCCCCCTGCCCTCATCCCTGCAGCCCTGCCGCCTACCTGCAGGTTGTTGATGAGGTAGCTGATGTCGTTGATGCCTGTTAATGTGGAGCACGTCTGGCCTGCCACGGAGCAGAGAAGCAAGGCAGAGCTGAGGACTGTGGCCAGAAGCATCTTGACAGAGGACCGGAGCACCCTTGGCATGAAGACATCTTCCAAACGGGCTGCATTTAAAGCTCCTTTAGAAGAGGGAAAAACCCTGCCATCAAATTGATACCTGAGGCCCACTTTTTCTCTGTAAATTGGGGCCACTTCATAATGAAAAAACAAAACAAAATAAAAAACACACACTGAGTCACTTGACAAAGATAATGTTGTGCCAGGAAATAGAATTCCTCAGAACATGCTTTCCACCAAGTTGAGCTTTGAGATGCTGAAGGAGGAGTTCAAGCTCTCAAGACCATATTTTTTTTTAGACAAGGATTCTGAGAGTTGCAGGGTTTTCCATGAAAGCCTAGGTCTGTGTTTTCCTTCTTGCCATTAATGGAAATGCTAATAGAATGGCCACTTTTGACTGTGGTCATGAAGAGAAGGGGGGAAGGGAAGGCGAAGGGCAGGTAGATGAATGGCGTAGTAGGACACTTCCTCTGTCTTTTGGGATTTTCTATAAATAGTTCCAGTCTCAGTCTTGCTATACTGCATTCCCAAATCTTTATAAAGTCTTTCATGTGATAGAGCAAACTTTCCACCTGGAGCAAATGTAACCAAAAAAATTTCTGTACAGAAATTTGAAAGAGGGAATTTACAATTGCAAGCACAAGAAAGCTATAGCAGTGCCTGTTAAAAATGGCCTGGAAAGTTACTTTGTATCTGGTTGTTGCCATGGTGGTTATTGTCTTGAGACCTGGTCCCACTGTAGCATCCAGGCTGGCCACTTCTGGATACCTTTGCAAGCCTGATCTGGTACGGTGGAGAATTCAGTCCAACCAAACCAAACCAGCTCAGTAGTTAAAATAGCATCACAGCTAATATTTGTGTGTGGTATTGGGCATTGAGTCCAGAACCTTCACACTGAGCTACATCCTATTCAGAAAAAAAAAAAAAAAAAAAAAAAAGGAAATACAAAGACACAAGGTCAACAGGCCAAGTTGATTTCAGGCCAGACCTGAGGAGACCACCTGGCACTCAGGCCAGATGAGCAGCTTTCACATAGGCTTGAAGGTCTCTTGAGGGGTCACACGGCCATGAAAGGAAAAGGTCAAAATGGGCCTTGTCAAAGGGCCCATTGTGAGAAGGAGCTGTGGCTGCCTGTCAGGAGCAGGGCTAAAGAGTGATGGTGGCCATGGGGTGTGGCTATGCTTGCTGAGCCTCACTAAGCCATGGTTATGCATCGCTAGCAGGGGAAAGCAGAGTGGGACGGTTTCAAGTGGTCTCTGGCCAGCTTAGGGTGTGGCTGACTGACTTCTTCACATCTCTCCGCTTTTTTCATTTTTTCTGTTGAGACAGAGTCTTGCAAAGTTGTCCAGGCTCTGATCCTCCTGCCCAACCTTTTAGAGCTCTGAGATCACCACATCGACTCATGGTGAAAATGTGTTGCGCATTGACTACATACCAGTCACAAATCTGTGCACTTCTTGTAAGTTAAGCCACATAACTCAGCCAACTGAGGCAGGTTCTAATTTACTGTCCTCATTTTCTACCTTCTAAGATATTTATGTGTTAGCTTCCAGACCCTTAATGTGACTGTGTTTATCACAGTGAGGCAGAAAGCAGTCTCATCGTGTCTCTAAAAGGTATCAGAGCTATCCCTGTTATTTTATAGAAAGAAAAACTGAGGCACAGAGAAGCAAGTAATGCACCTGCAGTCCCAGCTCCAGAGAGCCACAGAATCTGGATTCACATGGAGAAGTCTGTTTCCCAGGCTCAGCTCTTCACCCTCCTCATGCCACTTATCTGTGTGCCTCTGTCTGTGTGTCGCATCAGGGCAAAGTGTCCCAGTGGCTTTGGATTCTACTTCACCCCTATATGCGTAGCATTTAGCGAGGTGCTGAGGAGCCATGGATTCTCATTCAATGATTGTCGAGTTAAAACATTAATTGGAAACAGTTCTTGAAACAGAAAAGGGTATGTAAACTGGAAATTTATAAGGTTTCAAAACTAGTTTCTAGGGTGCATCTTTGGAGTTAGGGGCAGGTAAGAAAGCATGTCTTCTATAGGATAGACTGAAAAGGTTGGGAGATTTTTTTTTGACTCAGCATTGGGGACTGAGTTATGGTATCTGCTGGGGACAAAGTCTCCTAAGGTTTCCTCAGTGCTATTGCAAGAATGGGTGGCAGGTTGTTTTCCTCATTGTATATTATTCTTTAGGAGTGATGACAAATGGTCAGAGCTTGGCTGTGCTGTGGAGAACTATAGAGAAGTACCTTTTTGCCACATTCCCCAAATTATCCCACAGCTTTGATTTGTATACCTTCTCTCTGAAGGCACTCAGGAAAAAAAAATCTAGAAAGCATCCCAGGCTCAGGCAAATACTTTGTTACATCATCCAGGATCTGCCATTTTTGCTTTCTAAAAGAGCACTGGTTAGCTCATTGTCAAAATATACCCAAAAGGCTGCTTTTCCAGCTCCTTTTCCTATTACTGGTAGCCTTATAATATGTTCTGATCCATGCAACCTGTTGTCTCTCTTCCCAGACCAAGTCCTAGCTGGCCCAGCTGGCCTCTGGTCACCCCGCCCCTGCCATTCCCAAGAGTTGGTTCAGGAAAGGGCAACCCAGAGGCATGGGGGCTCCTTTGTCAGGTTCCTCCAACTTTTAAAGCACCAGGGTGCACCAACCCTCCCAACACCAGGAAAAGAATCCCCTCAGAGCATTTGTATAATGAAATTCCTGATCAAGAGAGCATGAGAGTGACCACACTCAAAGCATCACTACTGAAGAGGCTAAGGCAGAAGGGTTGCTTAAGCCCAGAAGCTGAGCCTAGCCGGGACAACAGAGTGAAATCTCATCTTAAAAGCAAACAAAAACCTAAAGTAAGAATAAATTTTACTAAGGAAGTAATGACTCTTACAATGAAAAGTACAAAACATTGATGAAAGAAATAGAAGATACATATGAAAGAAAGAAAAAAGAAAGAAGATAGAAAAGAAAGTAAGCAAGCAGATAGACAAACAGAGAAGAAGAAAAAAGGAAAGAAAGAAAGAAAGAAAGAAAGAAAGAAAGAAAGAAAGAAGAAAGAAAGAAGAAAGAAAGAAAGAAAGAAAGAAAGAAGAAAGAAAGAAAGAAAGAAAGAAAGAAAGAAAGGAGAAAGAAAGAAAGAACAGAAAGAAACAAAAGAAAGATTTCCCATGCTTATGCACTGGGAGAATTAAGAATTAATATTGTTAAAATGTCCATAATATCCAAAGCAGTTTGCTAATTCAATGCAATTTCCACCAAAATGCCAATGCCATTCTTCACAGAAATGGGAGAGACAAATTCATATGTATATCACTCATTTAGTCTCTTCTAGTATCTGTTACTCCTCAAAGAATTGAGTTCCATGAAAATGAATACTGTCACTGACTCCTATTCATCATTGTAGTCACAGAGCTTGGCTTCCTTTAAGTGTTCAGGAATTACTGGTGACATGAATAAAATCAATTTAATTTTATAACAGTTTATTAAATTTATAGTAGATGATTAACAACAACAACAACAAAAAAAAACCAAGCATATATACCATTACAAAAACTTGAACGTGGAAAACACTTGGGGAGAGATGAAGCCATGGCTACAGTACACTTCCTGCTCTGTGCTCCCTGGTGCTGGTGGGGGCTAGAGCATCGCTGCAGGCCCTTCGCATCTCCCCTCCCTTCTGACATCACAGAGCTGCATGTGTAAGGCATGGGCAAGGTAGGACCTCTCATTCTGTAGAGGATGAAAGGCGGAGAGAGACAAAAAGAGAGATAGGTTGGGCTGCTGATTCTTTCTCATTTCCCCACCCACTCAGTTATGCAAAACAAAGAACAAAGATTAAGAGTAGCTCTGTAGTTCAGACCACCGTAAAACAGCAGATGTTTATCGAGACAGTCAACAATTTTTGAGGTCTAGCTTCTAGGATTTTTCTCACTAGCATAGTGCAAGCATGCAAATGATCTCCTACAGAGGAAATACACCCAGCTGAGAAATTACTAACCTATTCTGAATATCAAAAAGACTGGAGAGTGGGAAGCACGTCAAGATTTAACGTAGATAATGTATTTTACAATAAATGACAAAAGACAATAGGGAATCATTTTTTTGCTGCAAAGATAAAGTTTGACTTTTTTTAATTTTGTGATAAAAGCTCATGTGTCGTGGTTCTTTTTTCCTGTAGGAATATACTATAATTATTATTTGTTCTAGGAAGCCACAGCACAAAATGAGCCCCAACTCACTCCTAAAGGCACTAAATTTCTAAGTAACTTGTTTTGCATGTTACTCTAAACAGGCAAAAGACAACTAGTTATAAGAATGCACAAGCACTAATTTCTTAGTCAAATAGTTTTTTCTAGTATTTCTCAACCAAGTGTGATACTGCACGTACTTTTCCTGAAGGAGAGCGATTTTAACGGGACATGTTGGACCTCTTTTCTGAGCGCAGTCTGGCTCTTCCTCCCTGCAGGGCCTCTGCTCCCAGTTTGGGTCCTCACTGATTTTTCCAGATAGAAGACCTACTCATTGTTCACTGCTAGTTCAGCCCAGGCCCTCCTTGTAAACAGAGTTTTTACACCTTCTCATCAGAAGTACCTGAAACTTGTCCCTGTAGTCCTCAGAGATATGGGCCCCCCTTTGGCTGTGACCATTTTATTGTTGTCTATCTAACTCAGTAAGGATGAGAACTCCTCTTTTGGCTTGCAGTGATAAAAGTGTTAAGATGTGTTAAGTATTACTATATGCCAGGCAGCATGTTAAGTACTTTATATATTGTCTCATTTGACCTTCCCAACAGTCTTCATTGACTCCATTTTTAAAAAATTTATGTATTTTGTACAGGGTCTTACTACACAACTCGGACTCATAGTGATCCTCCTGTTTTCAGCCTCCCCAGTGCTGGGATTACAGGCATGCACCACCATGCCTAGACTGGATCACCAGCTGAGCATGCCTGGGGGTGGGGGTGTCATGGCTGATAGTGCCCGGGATTGAACCCGG